ATTTATAAATGTTGTCTATCATTCTGTGAGTTGTCTTCACTTTCTTGACAGTGTCCTTTGCTAGGCAAAGTTTTAAATTTTTCTGAAGTACAATTTATGTATCTCTTTTGTCACGTTTTTTGATGGATTGTCGCTTATGCTTTTGGTGGCATATCTAAGAAACCATGGCCTGGCCAAGGTCTTGAAGATTTACTGCTATGTTTTCTTCTACAACATGGGAGTAAATGGTCTATAGTTTATCTCTTAAATTGAGACATAGGAGCCATTTTCAGTTAATGTTTGTATACAGTGTGAGGTAAGAGTCGTTCATTCTTTTGTATGTGGATATCCATCTGTTCAGTACTGTTTGTTGAAGACAGCTCTTCCCCTTTTGATTTGTTTTGGCATTCTTATTGTAAACGTGACTATTTCTGGACTGTCATTTCTCTTCTCCTGACCTATGTATCTTTTCTTATGCCAATACCACACTGTCTTGATTACTGTAGCTTTGCAGAAAGTTTTGAAATCAGGAAGTGTGAGTCTTCCAGCTTTGCTCTTTTTTTTTTTTTTTTTGAGATTGTTTGGCTATTCTGAGTCCCTTGCATTAACATAAGAATTTTAGGGGGGCGCCTGGGTGGCTCAGTTGGTTGAGTGTCCAACTTCAGCTCAGGTCATGATCTCACGGTCCATGGGTTCGAGCCCCGCGTCGGGCTCTGTGCTGACAGCTCAGAGCCTGGAGCCTGCTTCAGATTCTGTGTCTCTCTCTCTCTCTGCCCCTCCCCCACTCACGCTCTGTCTCCCTCTGTCTCAAAAATAAATAAACATTAAAAAATTAAAAAAAAAAAAAGAATTTTAGGATCCAGCTGTCAGTTACTATGAAAGAGATCAAACTGGCATTTTTATAAGAATTAAGCTTAATCTGTAGATTAATTTGGGAATTAAGCCTTCTAATCCAAGAACATGGGGTGCTATTTATTTATCAGTCAGCCTAATTGTGATAAAATTCACATACCAGGGGCGCCTGGGTGGCTCAGTCAGTTAAGCGTCCCACTCTTGGTTTCAGCTCAGGTCATGATCTCATGGTTCATGAGTCGAGCCCTGCATCGGGCTCTGTGCTGCCAGTGCAGAGGCTGCTTGGGACTCTCTCTGTCTCCTTCTCTCTGCCCCTCCCTCCCTCTCTCTCTCTCTCTCCAAATAAATAAATAAACTTAAAAAAAATCACATACCATACAGTTCACCCCTTTAAGAGTGTACAATTCAGTGGTTCTAGTCTATTCATAGAATTGTACACCCATCACCACAGTCAATTTTAGAATATTTTCATCCCCCTAAAAGAAACCCTGTACCCTTTGTCACCAATCTATCCCCTCAGGCTCCACTGCAAACCACCCCACCCCCCAACCCTAAGCAACCACTAATCTGCTTTCTGTCTTGTAAATTTTTCTATTCTATATGCTTCATATAAACGGAATCATGCAATGTGCTGTCTTTTGTGTTTGGATTATTTTAGTTAGCGTCATGTTTCTGAGGTTCATTTTCCTTGGAATCAGTACTAGGTTCCTTTTTATGACTGAATGATATTCCATATTGTGAATATATCATGTTTTGTGTATCTGCCAGCTGATTGACATTTGGATTGTTTCTACTTGGAGCTGTTATGAATAATGCTGCTATAAACATTCATATACAGGTTTTCATTTCTCTTAGGTATATACCTAGGAGTAGACCTGCTGGGTCATTTGGTAACTCTGTGTTCTATCTTATGAGGAACTGCCACACTGTTTCCTAAAGTGGCTGCACCGTATCACATTCCCACCAACAGTATGTGAAGGTTCCAATTTTTGTACATCCTCACCAACACTTACTATAGCTGACTTTTGATTGTAACCATCCTAGTGGGTATGAAGTGGTATCTCATTGTGGTTTGGATTTGTTTTTCCCTGGTGACTGATGATGTTGAACATCTTTTCTCATGTGCTTAGTGGCCACTTGTATATCATCTTTGGAGAAATGCCTATTGAGATTTTTGAATAATATTGGCCTCATAGAATAAGTCTGGAATTCTTAAACTTTTTTGGAAAAGACTGTAAAGAATTGGTATTAATTCTCCTTTAAATGTTTGATAGAAGTGAGTGGTGAAGCCGTCCCAGCCTGGGTCTCTTTTTTTTTTTAAGTTTTTTTTTTTTTTTTTTTTT